AGATTAATTAAAACCGATAATTTATTAATAATAACCGCTCGTGTAATTTAACAAATTAAAATACCTCATCAACAGCCGGGAAGCAACATCCACACCTTTTTGGTAAATCTATAGTCTTGCAATTGTTACAGGCACTTTCGCTTACATTACAAGGATGGCCACAAACATCTGCTGCGCATTTTTGACAATTCTTTGAAAAATAATTTTTTTTTATTCGATTTTCATTTAAATAAATTAATTTAAAAATTTTTTTAAAAAATACTTTAATATTTTCTTCTGAAGAAATTAAAGCAAAAATGCTAAATAAAGCAATAATTATAAAATTAATTTTTTGAGAAGCCATTTAAAAATATTTTTTATTTAAAATTTAATTATTTAAAATTTATTTTTTGATTTATTTTAATATATTCACCCTTCTCTGTATTTATATTAATTAAATTTAAAAAATTCCCAACAAGTAGCTACTCCAGAGAAAAAAGCTTTGCAAATAAAAATTATTTAAAATAAAATTTAAATAAGGTACATAAATGGATATTTTAATAAATTTATTTATTTTAAATTTATTTTTAAATTAATGACGCATTTTGAAGAAGAATTTTAAGGGATATAATTTCCTTTTATTGAAAAAATCTTTTTTTGAATCCATTGTACAAACTTTAACTTTATTTAATATTTTTTCTAAAAAAATATTTTAATTTATTTTAATTTTCCTTTTGTTTTAATGATTTTTAAAATAATCTTTTTTTTGGTTTATTGGATGATTGTGATGCGAAAATAGATTTTTACATTCATTTTCCTTAATTTAAATTTAATAATTAGTTTTTTTTAAGTTTCTGATTTCCATTGTGTTTCTTTATTTAATTTATGAATAAGAAAGTTACCTATTTGTTTTAATTGAAATTTTGTGTTAAATTATTTTTTAATTATTTACACACAATCTGTCAAGAAATTATAAGGTCATACATAGTTTGACAATAGAGAATTTATTAAAAATTATTTTATTCATAAATAATTTATTTTTACCAAAATTAACGCAAAAAATATACCCAATCTGAGGCCGAAATCGGAAGAAAACTGGCTTTTTGGCCTTCCAAAATTTCTATAATTTTGCCCTTATTATACCAAAAAACCCTTTGTATACCAATTTTATTTCATCATGTAGCTACTAAGAAAACTCCCTTCTAAATCCCTCCAAATCATCTGATATTCCCGGTATCACTTCAGATCCAACGTATTCCTTTATCCTCAATATGTATCTCCCCAACTAGCCTGATATTCACCGTAATCCCATGGTATCTCTATGTAAATCTCCTTGATCCTATAAAATCTCCTGATAACATTCGTAATGCTGATATTTAGTGATACTTCAAAACGGTGGGACTAAAATTCCATAACCGTAAATATTATTTTGTATGCTTGATCTAAATCTACTCAAGTTTTTAATTAATATTTAAAATTAATATAAAATTAATTTGCTTCTAAATTTTTGCTTGGATTATTTATTAATTTTTAAGTCAGAGTGGATTTAGAAAATTTAATTAACTAGAGGAAAATTTATTCAAAAAACTTTTATTCAGAAATTAAATAAAAGAAAAATGACCATAAAAAGTGAAGATATAAATAATAATATACAAAAAAATTATAAACAATTAAATAAGAATATACTAAAGAATAATAAAAACTTAAATAAAATCCATAAAAGAGATAAAAAAATAAAAATAGAGAAAGAGTAGTTAAAAATGCAGAAATATTTGTTTTTAGCAACAGAAGCTCAAAAAATTCAAATGTAAAAAAATCTTCCGTTTTAGCATTAAACAGTACCATAAGAAAAGATAGCAATGCAATAGAATAGTAAATTATTAAAAATAATCCAAACATATTATACTCAGCAAAAATTGAATTTTTTAAGTTGAAAAGGCTTGCAGAATCTGTTTTATTCTCTTTTAAAACGGGATTTGGAGTTTCCTTAAAAATAAAAATTGAGTTATTTTTACGTAACTTAATTAAAGCAAAACTTGCCGAATAGTTTTTATTCTCAAAATTTTCCTAAAAAATAAAAATTATTATTTAGTAATTAATTTCAAAAAAATGTAAAAAAGAGGAAATAATATTGTAAATTATTTCTCATTAAGATTTTGGGGATAAACCAATTTAGGGTTTCCGTCTTTTTCTTCCCATGGTTTGTTCCATTATATGAACAGGATGTTCAGACTTCCTTCATCAATTTCAATCTTCCCCTGTAGAATATTCAAATAAAAAAGATTAATCTGTTCATATAAAGAAAGAAATCAGGGGATGAAAAAAGTGGAACTCTAACACTAGGTTAACCCGATTTTGGATTCCAAAAAAATTTTATGTTCAATAATTCAAAGTAGATTTGGGCCTTCCGATTCAAGGATGTACAGAACCCCATCCCACGCTTGGACTCCAAAAAACCATATTAATTAAGGTTTTGAGGCCCGATTTTTTTTAGCGCGAGCGAAAATTTAGGGAGGTCTTGAAGCCAAATTTCATTCATTTTTTGTCCTCATATTAGGTGTTTTTTTTCGTTTTTTTGCTATTGTCTGGTGTTGTATGTACAATAATTCTGGATAAGTTACCTGCTCTTCAACAATTCCATAAATTTGTTTTCCCATTTTTAAAATTTCAGTTTTATTTTCCTCATTTTCTCTGTTATCTGAAGTAAATTCCTTAATCATTTTATCAATTTCAATTTTCATTTCATGAAGTTTAATTTCAAATTCTTTATTTTCTATACTTTGTTTTGTTTCAATTCGATCCATTCGCGATCTAATAAAATTTTGAGAATAAAAATTGGTTTCTGATGCCTTAAAATAAATTTAGAATATTTGTGAATATCAAAAAAATAAAAAGTTTACATTATTTAAATAATAAATAATTTCTTTTTGTTTATCACCAATAAACGCAATCTTTTCACGAAAATTTTCACTAGTCTGTCTGACTAGGTTATCTAAATCAGTTTTTGCATCCTCCAAAATTTTAATTTGTTCATAAAGTTTGGCCTGTTCTTTATCAATTTTCTCAATTTTTTCGTGTAATTTTTCTTCATTTCCTTTATTTTGAGAAGTAACAACAATCACAACAATACTTAACAAAATAACAAAACCATAAAAAATGTGTTGTTTATAACTACAACAATTTCGTTCCAAAATTATATTAATTGGTTTTGGCTCCTGATTTAACTAAAAATACCGAATTTAATACCTAAACAGGGAAGGAGCTTTTTTCTCAAGACTAAGTGTCCTGAAACTTGGAGGCATGCATTGATCAGTAATTCGATAATGATTAATGATAGATTCTATTATTTTAGGTAACCATAAGACACAGATTCACAGTTTCTGCCACTTAATTATAAAAACTACAATTATTTTTGGGAGAGATATGGCAGAAATAATTAGCGAAAATCTCCCTTTTCATAAAAAATCGGAAATCGTGAATATTATAAACTTTAATTCAACATTAAATTTTGTGTTACAACCTACATACTTCTTTTTCAAGTTGAATAGTTCTATCAGAACTATTAATAGTTTTATCAGAATCATCTTCAATTTTATTTAAATAATTATTAATATTATCAGAATTGTTATTAGAATATGACCAATCTTCAATTTGCTCTGGTGTTCGCATTCTCATTATTCAAAAAAAAAATCTGAAAAATAATAAATTAAAAAAATTTATTCTACATATGTAAAATAAATAATAGTATTGTTTAATACATATTTATTTTTATCGTTGACCTAGACATTATTATGGGGGTTTCCAAGTTTTATTTGAAATAAGTCTGTCAACCTTTGTAACGAGGCAAAAATATTAAAATAATTCCATACAATTGTATTTTCTTTTGATGCAGTTTATGGGCTAGGGTAAAATGATAAAAGAAAATATTTGAATTTTTTTGTATAAAACAGTATATAACAGAAAAATTTGAAGACAGACACTAGCTTAGAGTTCGAAAAGTATATCAACCTCGACAAAATACGAACCACAGACTTGGTACTTTCCAAACATTAAATTGATAGATAAAAATCGTGTGAAAACAGGATTAAAACAAATACAAAAAACAATAAATAAAAAATTTTAAAGCAATTAAATATTAAAACAAAAAAGATCCTTATTAAAAACAATTCAAATCTCAAGGTAAATGTCTCCTAAAATTATTTTTAGAAAAACATTAAATCAAACATTAATTTAACTTTTTATTTATAAATTAAAAAAACAGAAAAAAATTGTTAAAAAATATTTACAAATTTAATTTTAATTTAAAAAAAATATCAATTTAATTTTAAAAAATTTAAGAAAAATCTTTTTCTTCGTAAAATCCTTCAGGCATAATATGTTTTGAAACATCATAACGAAATGGCATTGATAACAAATCAGCCCCAAAGTTTGTTTGGACAGTTCCATTAAGAAACCCAAAAAATGGACGGAAGTTGTCACTCTTTTCTTCGAGGAAAAGTGTTTTACCTAAAATTTTAGGAAGTACATTTAATTATTTATACATATGTACATTTATGTACATTTAATTATTTTTAGGGTTTTATCTAGAGTTGAAACGTGGATCAGATCAGAATTTTCTGGCTCTATTAGTCCGGAAACCGAGTAAATAAATATTTGATTTTGTGAGATTTAGAACTAATTTTAAAGAATTTATGTGTAGGGTTTCTACTGAATCTAAGAACAAACGAAAAAAATTAAATAGAAAACTTCAACGATTTAAAATTAAATTTAAAAATAAAAAAATATTTTAATCCGGATTTTCCGGATTAGGTAAAACCCCCGCTCATTAAAACAAATAATTTTGTTTTAGAAATAAATTATCCAAAATTATTTTCAACAAGTGCCCATTTACGGTATTTTCTCTTATACATCCCCATGGGGCTCTATTTTCTACTATTCTCCATGATGGGCTGTACATATTAGGGGATGGGGGGGGGGGCTCTATTTGAAGAAATACAATAAGTGCCAGATTTTATAAAAATTTATTTACCAAAAATTTCTCCATTTAGAGTAAAGAAAGCATATGGACGTTTATCAACATTATCTTCTTTTTGATAAACTAATCCAACCCCACAAACATCTCCACTTTTCCAGGACATATTTGGATAACGAATTTTTTCAAGTTTTCCCAAAACAGAAATATTTACACTTTTAGTTATCTTATCAGGCAATAAACAACAACAAGACAAAGTAAGTATTGTTGATTTGTTACTGTCAAGTCCAATTAATGCCATTTCCCCTCTTTTATTAACTTCTTCAATATTTTGAAATTCAATTTCAAAATAAAAAATTGAGTCAAAAAGAGGGTCTGCTGCTACTTTATTAAATTTGTTTTGGCCATAAACGCGTATCATATTATTCAATTCTGTAGTGAAAAAAATATTAGATTAGACTAAACTATGGTAGCTCGCCGAGCCTTTGGGGTCAGGATAGGCGGGGATTGGGGTTTGACAAGGTAAAGCCTTATGGGATCGGGTTGGAGGTTTCGTCAAAAAAATCGCCGGGGTCGGTGGGAGCTTGACTAAACGATATATCGGGTAAAAATTTTTTTGACAATTTTTTTGACAACCATTTTTAATACTTTGAGGAATGAAAAAAGGGGGGAACGAAATTGAATATTACTGTAGATTCTAGTATAGAAATTAAATTAGAAAATAGCCAAGTAGTATTAATGACCTCCACTCTTTATAAATACCTAAGCTAATAGAAGCTTATCCTTACTAGAAGCCCATTTAATGAAACCCATTGAAGTAAATTCAATTGGCTTCCAAAAAACATTTTAAGAATATCTTCGGACTTTCCATATATGTATGGTGAGAAAATTGTATAAAATCGAATTAGACACTAATTCGAAGCTGAAGCAAAAAAGCTTTCGAACTACACAAATAGATATGCCAGTTATTAAATTAAATAAGTTACCTTTAGCACTGTTTGATGCAGAATATTCTACCTTTCCCCCATTAATAGCAACATTACCAATTTTACTTTCAAATTTATTATTCTGGATAATTTTCTTTTGATCAACGAAAAAGTGCTCAGCAATATATCCCCATTTATTTTCAAATTTAATAAATTTCTATCGAGAAAAATAATTTTTCAACATATTAAAAAATAAATCTCACAGCTTTTAAGTTAGAAAAGTTTGCCAATTTGTTTGTCACAACTCGAAGTTCTCTTTCAGCCTTTTTAATAATTATTTGGTAATAGTTAAGTTTGTGTTTACCCTTTTTTTTGGCTGTAGAACGGAGGTAAAAGTTCGGGAATGTGACATGTGATTTTAGAAATGATTCTGAACCAAGTTATAGGTCCCGAAATATTGAAAAACCATAGGGGGGAGTAAGGTCGATTTTGAGCTAAAATTCGAATATGCAAATATAAATCGGTCCAGAATCATTTCCTGAAATTGGGAGTGGTACCGTCGACTCAGCTCGTCAGACGAATCGAATAACATATGTCACGTCCCGAACTTCTACCTCAGGTACAACTACAACCGAAAACATGGGTAACACACTTAACCATTAGCAATTTTTTAATTTTAAGATAAATTTTCACTTTATTTAATCTCTCAGTTAACTGTTTCCGTTCATCATCAACCATTCCAATTTTTTCCTCAAGGGTTCCAATCGTTTCTTTTTGTAAAGCAACAATATTTTTAAGAGAAAATTTTGATTGTTGCAAAATTTCTTTTTGTTGGTTTAATTTGGACTTTAAAAATTTTTTTCTTAAAATTTTTATACAAAATTGCCTTTTCATTAGCCATTTTCTCAACACTTTTCCGCATTTTTAACATAGCAATTTTATGTTCAGAGGCTCTCTTTTGTGAATTAGTTTGTAAAAAGAGTATTTGTTTTAACATTTGATCTTGCTTAAAATATTTTTAAAATTTCACAAAATTTTAAAAATCTTTACCAAATCAACTTTTGTTTTAATTAATTCCATAGAATAATCAGTCTTTTCCGAATCAGCCTATAGAAAATTTAATTAAACTTTTCTTTGTTTAGCTGAACATACCGTATTTTCTCGATTAATTCCCCTGGGGAATTAGTTTTTCAACCCTTCCTTGGCATGAGGAATTAATCGAGGGAGGGGAATTATTCGAGTTTTGGCAGTTGAACATGCAGTAGGGTATTTGGGGGTAGGGAATTATTTTTCAACCCAACTGTAGCATGGGGAATTATTCTAGGGAGGGGAATTAATCGAGAAAATACGGTAGTTTAGTAGAGTAATTTTAGTTTCGATACAAAAGACCATTCAATTCGTCTCGATGAGCTGAGCCGAATGATGCCACTCTTTTTTCCGGAGATGCCTGTCTAATGAAACTAAAATCACATTGATTCGAAGATGGTCCCCTCTATGATTTTTCGATTTTTGGAGGCCTATATCTCGGTACACAGACATCTCCGGAAAAATTGGTATCGTTCGACTCAGCTCATCGAGACGAATCGAATAGTATGGGTCTTATATCAAAACCTTTCCTCCGGTATACTAAACTACAGCTATTTACTTACTTCCAAAGCCTTAATTCTTTCTTCAACATTTTTTACTTTACATTTTAAACTACAATTATTTTCCTTTAAATTTTCTTTTTGTAAATCTTCCTCCTCTATAACTTCTTCTTTTAAACATTCCACTTCCTCGTCATCATCTAATACAATTGTAGCATCTGATTCTTCTTCAACTTTAATTGAAATATCGTTACTATTACCAGAATTGTTGACAGAAAAGGACCATTCTTCCAATTCTTTTGAAGTTCTGATCTTCATTTTTTTAAATTTCTGAAAAAATATTCAAAAAATAAGAGGGAAATTAAAGTGAATGAGGTATATGAGAGTAAGTTCTGAGTTTATGTATAGAGGGAAATTTTACATCAATGTGACCTAGACATTTTTTGCTTTGAAGATAAGCGTCCTTCCCTATAATATTTTAAAAAAAGTATGTCAACCCCAAATGTAACAAGGCAAGGTGACAAAATAAAAAAAATTTTTATGAAAAAAATTTTAAAATAAATTTTAAAATTTTTGAAAAAATTAATAAATTAAAAAAATCTAACAAGAAATTAAATATGTATTTGAATTTATTTTAATTAGATTATTAGAGATATCCAAAATCGAAAATTTTGTAAAATGCCTAAGATGACTCCTAATTTTTATTTTCCTTAATTAAGTAACGGACCTTTTTTAAAGCAAATCTCTAAACCAATTTAGAGACCAATTTTTATAAACGTCAATATCCAAGATAAGTAGATTAGAAACTCGAACAAAGATCTCTGTTATCGAGATTCCGATCCTCGTACTACCTTCCCAGTCTCGAACAGACATGGGTGAAACGTATCGTTTCATTGTTTCGTTGTCATCCATGAAGACCTACTCCACGTAGACCTACACCCTGAAGACCTTTGACCCTGAAGACCTACAAACTCTTGATCAACACCAATTTTACTTTAATTTCTTTAAAAGTTTAATCAGCGGATCTCTAGTTTAGATCCTTTCAAAATTCATTACATATGAGTAACATGTAAATATTTTTATCTCAATTGCCTCAGTAAATCTAAAAATTCTTTTATTCAAAAAATATTTTTGTGTTAATTTTGCATTTTTATTTTGCAGTTTTATCACATTTTATGGACTTTATGTTTTCTCCTTTAATTTCTTTAAACAAATAAAATTATTTATTAAAGAGAGAGACATTTGATATATAAAATTTGAAATAATTTAATAACTCAAGATTAATAGGAGAACGTCAAAAACCATCCAAGCACTATCATTCTTTTCCTTTTCTTATCATTTTCTTTTAAATGTTCGTAGATAAAAGATTAATTAATGGGTACAAGAAAGTGATTGAAGTAATTAATTAATTAAATACAAAATTGATTAGACGAAAATGGGTGCTTTTTAAGGACGAATTTTTGTTTAAAATGTCTCCTTTTTGGGGGTAAAAATGTTAATTGGATGTTGTTTAATTATTGCCTTTTATTTCAATAAAGTCTGTCTTTAATTTTAAAAATTTCCCTTTATTTATTTAGTAAATTCTCCGATATTTATTTTTAATTTATCCTAAATAGGGTCGTCGTTTTCGGTTCGAGCCTTCGTTCGGTGCATATTTTTCGAGCTTAGTTTTTCGATTGGTTCGTTTTCGAGCTGAAAAGTCTCGGCTCGCTCGATCTTTCTAGTTTCGGGTCGAGCGAGCTGGCAACCCTAATCCTAAATTTATTTTTGTGCTTCTCTCACAAGGGGACATCGTTTAATGTCAGTGTGAATTTGAGAATTTTTTTGGTACCATTCGATAAAGGACCTTCGACTTACTTCCTCTATCGAATGGTACCAAAAAAGATTATCGAATTCACACTGCCAGTAAACGATGTTCTCTTGTCAAATATATAATTTTTTTCCTATCATGAAATAATCAGATTTTAAAATTGCTTTTAAACAAAATATCAAAATATTTATTAATTAAACGAAAACAAAGTAAAAATATATAAACAAGATTCTGATAATATTAATTATTTTGATAAATGTACCTACAATTATGTATTTAACAAACGAAAAATCTATTAGATTTTTTAATTGTTATTTCTATAAAAAATCAAAATTATAGTTGATTCTAAAATAATTTCCTATAAATTAACAAAATGTCTGGACTTTATTTATTTAATTATTCCACTACCTCTTCAACAAAAACGCAATTAATTAATTTAAAGAAAAGACCCTCACTTATTGATAAATTACCTATTTTTACAAGAGAAGATGTTCGAGCTAATGTTAATAGAAATTGGATTATTGTTGGCTCTTTAGTCTTTGATTTGACTGATTTTTTAAAAATACATCCTGGGGGTGATGAGGTAGATACATATTCCGCAACTTGCAATCCGCAACTCGCAATTTCTTTTTAATTTTTTGAGATTTTGAGAAAATGTGGAAGATCAAGAACCCAGATTTTTTTTATTTATTGTGAGGGAAATTTCGAAAAATTGCGTGAAAATTGTGTAAAAATCTTAAAAATCCGTAACTCACAATTTTTTTAAAAATCCGCAAACGCAATCCGCAACTCGCAATTGCATAAACCCCCTCAATTTACACAATCCGCAATTGCGTGCAGCCCTGTTTGGAAGGAGTAATTTTATATAGGAATGTTATAGATATTTAAGCTAAATATAGTGCAATGGAATACTTTACTTTATTTTTATTATATAATCAGACAATTCAATTATTCAGATACTTCTTGAATTTATTGGAATGGATGCTACATCCGTTTTTGAAGATGTACACCCGAATAATGTCAGGGCATCTATTGTATTGTTAAAATATGTTATTGGAAGATTAAAAGAAGAAAAAGAAAGTAGGGAAATTAAGGAAGATTCTGAAAATATTAAAAATGAAAGGATAAATAGTAATACTAATCAAAATTTTATTTACAGTAGATCTGCTGATGTTAAGTTTTTAAATTAATTTTTAATGAATAAATTTTTTGTGATCATATTGAAATATACATAGGTATTTGTTTATTTTTCGGATCTCGACCAGTGCTTCGAAATTTCGATTTTGCATGTACTCGTACTTCGTACCAACTCTTTTTTGGCCTCGTACCTTGAACTTAACACTTTTTTTTTGCCTCGTATCATACTTCGTACCTGCCCCATTTTTTTGCTCGTACTCGTACTTCGTACCAGGTACGAATACGAGGTACGAGTATCTCGACTCTAAAATGAGTAAACAACCACTTATCTCATATTTTCATCACATTTTTCACTATCATTTCTGCTGAAAGTTAAAAGTAATTCAAAGTCAAACAACGGTAAAAGAGGTAAAAATCGGTAAAGAGGTAAAGAAAAATAAAAGCCTTGGTACAAGAGGATAAATATTTAAATTAAGGATAAAATATTTAAATTAAAGCCCGATCTAAAAAAATTTTTTAAATAGATTTTTTCGATATTTAATACAAAAATAGTCATAGATATACTTGTTTTTCTATCAATCTTCTTCAAATATCTTTCTTTTAAATTTAATTTCTGTTCTGGCTTTATGTAAATGTTTAATTTCCAGAACGTCCAATCGGGTGTATACTAGCCGTCCCGTAACGACGAACTTTTGTTTGAATTGTTGTTCGAATACGAATAACTGTTGATTGGGCTTTGGTAATTCCAAAATAACGAAAAACAGCACGTCTCAAAATATAATAGATTAATTAAATCTACCTAATTTTTAATAAAATCTTTTACTGTAGATCATTATAATTATAAAAATCACCATCATTATAATTATAAATGATGGTGATTTTCTTCAAGTCTCGCTCTTTTTGGCCTATTGACTCCCAATGTAGAAAGGACAAATTTCAATCAGGGAATCTGGCGAACAAGCCAGATTTCTCGCTTTTTCAGCGTCGCACGCAAAGATTTTAAAAATTCGGGAGGACAAAGTAGCCATTCTATTTCAGCGCTGAAGGCAAAATTTTGAGAATTTTGGAAGTCCAAGAAGCCAGATTTCTTCCATTTTTAGCGCCGCAGACGAAAATTTAAGAATTTTAGAAGGCTGTAAGCTAATTTCGTTCATTTAAAAATGAGAAATCAAATCCTTAGTGTGTTACAAAGTTCTGGTTTAACCGGAACTAAAGGGCTGGAACCGGAACTAAAAAATCATGTAGCAATTTTTATTTGTTGAAAGATTAATCTAAAGATATTTACCGATATGGGGCAACAAGTAGAATTGTCCCTATTGGGTTCAATGCTGGGATTAAAGTTACTGGGATGTCAGTAGCAACTGTGTACATGATAGAATGTCCGGTAATAAATACTGGGCCAAATACTTGAATAGTCCAGCCAATAACTTCTAATGATGGAAGTAATGCCTTAATTTTAATTTAATAATTTTGTTTGTTTTTTGTGACAGCATTAGTGCCGGGTAGTGGGCTTTTGTTCTTTTTTTGTTTTGTGCCAGAGGTGCAGTTCGGCTCTCTCTGCGGATTGAGAGAGAGAGGAAACTTTTTTTCGTTTTGTACCCTTTTTCAAAATTTTTCAACATCTCCGGCTCCGCTGGAGATGTTGCCAACCTCAGATCTATCTCCCTGAGCCATACTTCGCTCTGGGCAGCAATACTGTCTACCAAGATTTTTTTGTTAATCGTTTAAAAAATTACCTGAAAAAGAAGAGCGGCCGAAACTTGTTTGTTATGTTCTTTTAATTTTAAAACATTCATTTGTCTAATTGTTTTCTTAATTTTAAAGAAACAAATGCCAACTATTAAATAGAATCCGGGGAATAAGAAAAGCATAGCCGTAAGATGCATCAACCAACGGTAGTTTTTCTTTATTTTTTTAAAATCATAAATATGTATGATTCATTCAAATTTATAATATCTCATCCTTTTTTCAACAGTTAAAAAATAGTCGGAGTTTTCTATTCATATACAAGGGATGGGCCGGGTCCAAAAAAAGTAAGATCGGGGTTTATGGGCAAAAAAAATGCGGGATTAAAAATTTGGCCAAAAAGCCAGATTTATCGGTGCAAGTTGTGGATAACAATTATTTCGGGGATTAGTAGTGAAATTAGGAACTTTAAAGGGATTAAGTTGGATTTGGATGCCTTGAGTATCAAATGATTTAAGGATAAGATATATATCAAGAGATTAAAAGATTGCTTCATACCAGGGATGTGCCGAAAATGATTTTAAAAAGCGAAAGGCGAAAAGACGAAAGTCCAAAAAAGGCAAAAATCGGCGAGAGACGAAAGGCGAAACTCGACACCCCTGGTACATACCATATTAAGATTGAA